TGAGGTTGAGACGTGCATGGTGGTGGCATGCTTGTACGGTCTGCTAGCACCGGGCATTCCAATGCTGTGCGTGCCAGCGGTGCACAGCTTATGCGTCGAACCTGCTACGAAATTGGACCGAGATCTCTTGAAGGCGCGCTCCAGCGACGTAGCATGGGCATTCAGAGGTTGGGGAAGCAGGGCATGCGCGATCTTTTCGTGCATCGGAGGAGCATGTCTTGTGGGAAGTGCAGCATGCGGCTCTCTGGTGGACCACGCCGTGCAACGGGAGTCGTTGGGAAGTGCTTACCTGGCTGCGCAGGTGTTCGCAGGGAGTGCGTCGTTCATTGCTGGCATCTTGCTGCTTGGCGCTGTGATGACAGAACGTCGCTGCATGGAGGTGCAGGTGCAGGTGGTGGTGCATGGGGCGGGGGCGGGGGCGGGGGCGGGGGCGGGGTGGAGGAGAAGTTAACAGCTATCGATAACTGGCTGCGGCTGCATCCATCCGGGCCACGTTTGAGGCTGCCCATCATGGCAATGGAATAATGGCATGGCATGGCATGGCACATCATGCATCATAGACTTTCCCACAGAATCTGAAGTCAGAATGCCTGGCCCACGCTGCTTAGCAAATCACGGAAGCAGGCTACTGATCGGCCGGTCGGTGCTGGAAGAAAGACGAAAGCATGTTTGCCTGCCACTCCAATCCCAATCTCGAGCGCCTGCTTCTAGAGCTTCCGACATCCTCTTCACCTGCTTCGTGAATGCCCTTTCACTTGATGGCAGTGCGGAGTCCGGGCTCACCGACCGGCTGACACGATGGAGGAAGCCGGCGGAAGCACAAGCACAGCATCGCCCAACGAACAGCACGCATCGAAGAAGCCGCATGGCTTGGCCCTAGCTTGCCGAGGTACGGTCGACGTAAACAAGCCATGTCACTTATAAGCTAAATCGATCCCGTCCAGAATGTCAACGGAGGAAGGTAAAATGCGATAGAAAGTACCCGTGCACTCAATGTTCAAGAGCCAGCCTGCCCTGCCAAATCTCCACGCGGAAACCCAGAGCAAAGATTGCCAAAACGGCCGACGCAGAACTGAGGACCCGAATCGCGAAACTCGAAAAGCTCGTTCAGAGCTTCCAGGATGAAGACGGAAAGCTTCCCAGCGCTGAAGACATCAAGGCCATCAATCAACTTGGCCACACTAAGGACAACAGTCGACGCGCGACCCACACGCCGTCCTCGATCAACGCGCCTGTGACCTCAGACCATGCCAGTCCTTCAAGTCCGATAGACGCCACTTCCCCGGCCACAAGTAAATACGTTGCTGGCTCGTTCTGGTCTACCCTCACTTCCGAGGTCAAGGCTCTGGCTGATGCATTTGAGGAGGATGGCCCGAACAGTGACCCTGACACCTCGCCGGAAACCACTCCACCCGCACCCTACGCACTGGACGCAACTAGCATCACTGCACAGTATGAGCTCATCTTCTGTCCTCCTGGAGCTCTATACATCATGCCTGGAGCATTGGTCGAGCCGGAACCTGCTATTGCCTTGGATTTGTTGAATGCATACTTGAATTACGTCGACCCAATATATAAGCTCCTACACGTACCAACTTTGAAAGCTTTCGTGGCCGATGGACAGCCTTACATGAGCCGACCGGCAGATGCGCCGTGCAACAAAGCCTTGAAAGCGGCCATATGGTTTGCCGCGGCCAATGCATACACGGAAGAGGAATGCGAGTCAAAGTTCGGGAAATCAAAAGATCTGGTGGTGCTCCAGTACAGACGAATGGTTGGCATTGCCCTCTATCAAGCAGATCCACTGAACACGACTGAAGTGGCAACCATTCAGGCGTGTGCCCTGTATATCGTAAGTTCTGCCTTTGTTGCTCACGACAATTGGACTCCTTCTGACCCGTCGCAACGTAGGCATCAGCTAGAATCACAGATCCAAGCCGGCGAGCATGGTCATTGGTAGGAGTGCTTGTCCGAATTGCGCGAGCAGTCAACATCCACCGGGAAATGCGAGGCGAATCAATCTACATGACCGAGATGAAACGCAGACTGTGGTACTTCATTGTTTTCCTGGACTCTTATTCCTCGATAGATCGTGGCTCAGAACCAGCAATTCATCCAGACACCTACAATCGACGATTACCGACCAATGTCAACGACCAAGACTTTGGCGAAGATAGTACCACCATAACTCCTCGCCTGAACGAAGTCGCCGATATGACCTTATCCCTCATTTCAATGGAGGCATCCGACTTGACTCTGCGGCTTGCCATTCCGGAAGATATGCCATCTGGGCAGCCTTGGCAGAAGCGTCTTGAGATCGCCTATGCCTTCCAGAAGAAGATCAACGAGCAGTATCTCCGGCATTGCAACATGGAAATTTACCTGCACAGAATCGCAGCTGGCACTGGTGCGGCGGCTTGTCATTCGCTCATATTGCGCGCTGTCAGACCTATGCAGCTGAGTCCAAATCACAGTGCTCCCAGAGTCGATTCGCCCTGGGTCATCGAGCTGGCACTCAACATTCTCCGTCATTGCTACAGCCTTCAAGTTGATATTTCCGGTCGCTGGAGGCGTATGCCGTGGGTGCCTTGGCACGGCATCGCAGTTGCTTTAGCTGGACTGTGCTCAATAAGGGACACTCCACTGGCTGACGAAGCCTGGGAATGGGTGGACAAGACCATGGCGATATATGCTCCTTCAGTAGCAGACACCAAAGACGGCATGCTTTGGAAGCCACTCGAGAAGTTGAGGGCAAAGGCCGCAGCCTTCAGAGACGAACCGAAGAAAAAGTCAATATCGAAGCCCTCGGCAGCAGTACAGCAACCTGCGGTATCACGACCAGTCCCCAATGCGAACATGTGGAACGGTGGAGGCCAATTCGGCAACATGCAAATCCCTGAACCGACCTTGAATGTGGCCACTGCGCCGTTCCCGAACGATATGACATTGGATCCTCTCACAACGCCCATATCAGCCTCTGTCTTTGACTTCCCTCCTGATATGGCGGCGACTTTACCCACAGATACCAGCTGGCTGGATTGGGAAGGTATCCTGCAAGACATGGAAGATGTTCGCACGGATGGCGTAAGATGGATGTAGAAAATATAGGAGGAGCGTTGTACAGATATGTATGTTATGTAGACAATACCCCAGCTCTTGTGCTTGCTTCAACGTGAAGTATACGTGCGACCGACAGCAGTGACTGCAAAATCAAGCTGTCGAAAAATCTTTCCAAAACTTCGTCGGCATCGTTTCGGCGGGTGTTGTGAGTACCTGAAAGGTTCTGGTGGGATAATAAGCAGCGCGTGAAGCGATCAGCGAAAGGATTTGGGTGAGAAGTTCACGTTATCTCTCTCGGACAACAACTACTACTTCGTATCTTGGGAAGAACCCAACCTGCCGGCTCTCTGAAACTGGTCCGCCGGCATCGATCCGTCGGGTTTGTGGAACTTGAAGGGTGGTGGTGGTGGGATCGCCGACAAGTAATGTGTTCTTCGACAGCAAGCGGCGAAAATTTCTTGTTGACGGATTGCCATCGTCTCATGCCGCAGCGACCCTGCCTCCCATTAACTTAAATACAGCCCGCCGGTTCTCTGAAATTGGTCTGCCGGCATCGATCCGGCGGGTTTGTGGAACTTGAGCAGTGGTGATGGTGTAGCCGACAGCTAGAAGGTGTTTTGTGGCTACGAGAGAAAGGGATTTGGCGGGAGGACTTTGCGCCATCGAACATTACAGCACTCCTACACTGCGTGCACAGTATTTGGCCTGCCGGATGTCTTTAAAGCAACTGCCGGCAGTATATCGACGGGTTGGAGAGTGGAATTGCACAGTTGTGTGTCATTCGGCACCTTTCGAAGGCAGCGTCGCGCTGTACACCAAATTTGTGAGGTTCGTGAGCAGCGTCTATGCAAGACGGACTGACATAAAATCCTATGGAATCGTGGGTCTGACAGTGGGCGACTCACGAGTACGGAGTCTCACACTGAAGTACTCAAGTTGTGTCCTCTTCCTGCAGCTAACTGAGCTCACGATCGTGCTTTTGAAGGACGTTTTGAGAAGATGCTTCCCCAATCACACAGGTCCGAAATGTCGACTCCAGCTATGCGCAGCATGTCCCAGATCACAGTTCCCACTGTGTCTGCAACAATCAGGCCAGGGTATTTGTTCTCCCAATAAGAAGCCCTTTGCGCAGCACGAAGGTTCGTGCAGAATGTGGACACAATCTTCACCGGCTCATCCTCCATCCTCTCCACAACATCAGCAACCTGCTGATCCAGCTCTTCCTCTGTAATGTCCGCAAATTCCACATTGACTTTCCTGTTTAGATGCGACTCCGCCACCACTTCGTAGCCCGCCTTTCCGAATGTCTCCACGATCTTCTTCTGCACCTCGTCCAGATACGGAGTCACGAGACCAAAGCGTGCTCCGCCTTTCGAGACTTCCTGCAAGATTTTGCACAAACCAATGACACTCGTCGTAGCCTTAATTCCTGTGGCTTCTTCAATCCGCTGGCATAATCGGTCGTCGGCCTCTAGACCTAGCCAACCACTGCTTGTCCCACTCCAGCCGATAACATCGACATGAGCGTGCTGTAGGAGCTTTGCAGCCTGTATGATCTTGCTATCGTCGAACTGGGACAGGGCTTGCTCAGATAGTGAGATCTCGGTGACCTCGAAGCGCGAGAAGTGAACCGAGACATTAGGTATTGTCGAGATTATCGCACTGGTCAGAGGTTCGAGAGCGGTGTTGGAAGATGGAACCAGGACTCCAAGACGGATCAGCTTTTCTGTAGACATGGTAGATTCGGTCGTTGTAGTGGCAGGGGCATCTGAGAGGTCAGTCTGGTTCTTTTAGCATTCAACTTACCGATGAAGCTTGATGTGTACTCGCGGGAGGCTATTGATGCGTAAGATACCCGCAATGGCCAGTGGCTACCAAGTCGACCACGTTCGGCGAAAGACTGGAGACGACAAGCTCAAGTTCCTTCGACGCTGCCCTATCTTTCGGCCTTGGATCCGAGCTTTCATTATTCTATGATGGTCAAGGCGCGTGGCTGGTGAAATTCCAGGTTGACTCGTCACAACCTCATCGTACCACTGCCCCCTATACGTGCCCACGCCTTCACTTTGCTTCTCACAGCATTATAACAAAGTCTCTGCGATCCAATAAGAGCCCGTGCGTCCAATGTTCACTTCAGACCGTACGTGCCGGGAAGGCTACAGTATTCTGAGCGATCGACCCCCCTGCAGGACTCCGATAGCGGAGGACGTGGGAAGATGGTAAAGGCAGAATCAATCCATCATCATTAATTCCTGGCTTCTCACTCGTCCATATCACTAGAACTGTTTATTGATTGTGACTACTTACCGTTGTTTGTAGAAATATCCAGCTCGGAGACATGGAAGAGATAAAGCTGCTTTCGACTCAAGAAATTGCAAAACACAACACTGCCGAAGACTGTTGGCTTGTGATCGAGGACCAGATATGGGATTGTACTCAATTTAGCGGAGAGCATCCTGGTGGACCTTCCCGTACGTCAAGTTAGCTTTGTCATGAGAATGTACAATTGTACTTAAGAAGCTCCAGTAATTCTTCGATATGCTGGCAAAGACGCCACCAAGGCATACTCAGAGATACACTCACCATCCATTGTCAAAAACAGCTTATCTCCACATCTGTTCAAAGGCAACCTTGATCGATCGACAATAACTTCCGAATGGGCTGCAGAGCCTCTACCGCAGAATCCAGCCCAGGCAGCATCGGATAAGGACAAGCCACCACTCCACGCCATCATCAATGCGTATGTACATCCTCTATGATCGTCCGCTTGTCTTAATGCTTACTGGTCTGACCAGCGACGATTTTGAGGAAGCATCGCTTCGGACTTCTTCAGCCAAGACTCATGCATTCTATTCTACAGCCGCCACCGACTGCTGGACTCGAGATAAGAATCGGGAAATGCTGCAGCGAATATGGTTTCGTCCCAGAGTCATGCGGGATGTCGCAGAAGTCGACACATCAAGCAGCATTTTAGGCATACCTGTCAAAGTCCCGCTATTCATATGTCCATCTGGACTAGCCAAGATGATCAATCCCGAAGGCGAAAAAGCGCTAGCTCGAGCTGCCAAATCGAGTGGCATTCTTGAGATTGTAGGTGCTTCACACTGCTGATGATCATAATGCTGACTTTCCGTAGATCCCGACCAATGCTTCTTATCCTGCGAAGGAAATCATCGAACAAGCTCCCGATTATCCGTTCATGTTCCAACTTTACGTCAACAAAGATCGGAAAAAGTCCGAGGAAGTGATCAAGAACGCTGAGACACTAGGAATGCGTGCGATATTTGTGACTGTCGATGCGGCAGGCAGAGGGAAGCGAGAATCCGATGAGCGCCTACGAGTTGACGAAATTGCAATCAACCCCATCACTGGCGAACGCGGCGGCAAGCGAGGTGGTGGGTTGACCAAACTCGTTGGAGCATTCATCGATCAGGCACTAGTCTGGCAAGATATCGATTGGATCAGAAGTCTGACAGACCTACCAATCGTACTGAAAGGTGTAATGACGGCCGAGGATGCCAAGATGGCGGTGAAGATGGGCGTAGATGGCATTGTGGTGTCAAACCACGGCGGGAGGAACTTGGACTTCAGCCCCCCTTCCATTTTGGTTCTCTTGGAGCTCCACAAACAATGTCCCGAGATCTTTGATCAAATGGAAATCTATGTCGACGGAGGCTTCCGACGTGGTGGAGACATTCTCAAAGCGCTATGTCTGGGCGCGAAAGCCGTGGGCATGGGCAGGTCGTTCCTCTTCGCCCTGGGATACGGCAGCGAAGGAGCCGAACATCTCGTGGAAATACTCAGAGATGAGATAGAGAGTGCCATGAAGCTACTTGGCATCAAGGACTTGTCTGAAGTCCATCCTGGCCTGGTTAATACGTCTGATGTCGACCATCTCGTCCTTTCGACGGGCGATCATCCATATGCCAAGTGGCGACCTCGAGCCAGGATATGAGGCGAGTTCTGAAGGTATGAAATGAGGACCTGCCTCGAACGCGCGATGGTCATCAGTCATCTCCACTTGCAAGGAGAGTAGAAGCCTCCGCTTCAATTTGGAAACATTTCGAGGGCAAGATGAATACTTCATTAATCACAAGCTGGACTTCTTTGGTGGAAACGCCGCCATACAACCAGCGTACAATGCGCCTGGATCTGTCACGATCGCCAGTCCACGTCTCGCACCGATGAAAATGAAAACCGAGAGTATTGACTGAATCTTGTCGGATAATTCCCCAGCGTCAGTCTGACCAACTCCCTCGCTCCACCTTCAACAAAAAGCCCGCAAGTCCCAGATGTACTGCCTCCAAGCTTCAAGATTGAACACCCCGTTAAGCTCATCCGCCTCCTTATATCCAGCAACAACCAATCCTGGACCAAGAGCTTCTACCTTTTCGTCGGCTTGGGTCTATTCTTCCCGCAATTCCCTCGTCCTTGCATACGCCAGCATTTGATGGACATCGCCATAGACTACATCTCCGCTTTACCTCTCATATAGAATGCAAGGTCAGTACAATACTACCTTAATCTTGTTGAAAGCCTCGGAAGTCACGGGAGTTTGAAGATGCGCGAGTACGAAAGTGAGTTATCAATAATCTAAGAGGGTATCACAAGACCTTCGGAAAGATGTCATCTGATCAAAAACGTCGTATTGTCTGCTGCTACTTAGATATATCTCGCTACTACTCTCGCTTTGTAGGCATAGACGTTAGATCATCAGAGGCCTGTGATTCCGACACATTCAAGCCCGGGGTGTCGACCTGGTTCAAATGCTCAATGTTAATTCTAGGTCCCTTGAACCACTTCCGGCCGCTGATGAAGTAGTGGCTCATGGCGAGAGTCATCGCTCCACCATACACAACTATAGTCCAGTTCATGGTCTGCGCGTTCAAATGACTACCAGTGTAGGCCGGAAAGCAGAGAGCAGGAGCTATGATGAGCCACCATGCACAGGCGACAGCATTGACTGGCTTTGAGAGTTTTCCGAGATTCCACGGACCTGGTTTATGTTAGCGACTGTATGTATCAGTGAGGTTTCATGTCTGCCTCTCGTACCTGGTCGAAATTTGTCTTTGGCAAAGAACAGCTTGAGGAATACTGGAAACGTGAAGGCTGTATACTGGCCGATCGCGCCAATGCTGAAGACTGCTCCGATGGCGATTGGTCCGGCGAAGACCAGCAGACCAAGCAAGGCGGCGATTGTAAGCACGCCCCAGGTGGCGTACACAGGCGTCTTCGTGCGGCTGTTCACCTGTCTCCACCATCTAGAACCAACGATGGCCCCGTCACGAGAGTACGCAAATACGACCCGAGAGGCAGCAATTGTGCATCCTTGGCCGCAAAAGAACTGGCCGATAATGTTTAGAGCAAACATTGCCAAGCCAGCCTTCTTGCCTAAGACTTGCAGACAAAGCGAGCCAAAAGGCTGGCTATACTGTCCTGCTACGACCTCTCCGATGTCTTTTACAGTGTACGCAATGACGAGCATGATTGCCCAGCCCATATAGAGACCGGTCTGGGCTGTTAGAACGATAGCCCGAGGAGATGCGATGTTAGCATTTGAGCATTCTTCTGCCAAGTGGAACGGTGCATCATAGCCTTGCACCAAAGTGTCAGTATATGACCGGCAAACTTTTGCGTTCAATTCTCACCTGACAAAGTCCAAACAGTTGTCAGAAAGCCCATGATGGTCGCCCACCCGATTGGCCAATCTGTTCCATTTTCGAATTCTGTCCACACTGCATGGGTGCTATTCGTCTTCGGCGTGTTAATGGAGCCCACTGGGAACCAGATGACGAAGAGCAAGACCAAGAATACGTTCCAGACCGTGCCAGCTACATTGACATGCCCAATGAATTTAGTGCTCTGCATGCACAGGACACCATTAATCAGTAGGAGCGACAGGAAGACCAGGTAGATGTGCCAGTCTTTTGGCACGTAATCGGGGTTCGTGACCTGCCCGCAAGTGACGATCATGGCGGCTATGTCAATAAGTTAGCATCCTTCGCATATTTCACCACCCAGGAAGAACCCACCCAAGGCATAATTGAGGGAGCACGGGCCTGTCACGAAGCCGCAGAAGTTCGACCATCCCACAAACCAGCTTGCAATAGGTCCCCAGCCATCTGGCGCGAGAACCGCAGCTGCGTAGTACAGGCCGCCTGCGGTGGGCATTGCAGAACATAGCTCTGCCATGCTGAATGCTGTAGATTGAATCATAAAGGCTGCGATCAGCCATCCCCAGGCTGTCCCGCCAGTACCAGAATATCCCAGCGCATAGGGCAAGGTCGACGCGATGCTGGGTAGAAGACCGAGAATCGAGAAAGACACCGAGAAGGATTGGAGAATGGAGAAGTCTCTGTTCGGAATCGCATCTTAGCATATGGGCAGTACAGCATCAAAGTCATAGCACACCTCTTGAATTCCTGCCTTGATGCGAAGTCAGCTTGATGGGTTCAATAGTTCTATTTGATGCTGAACGGTCTCGGCTTACTTGTAGCCAAGCGCTCCCAAGGTCTGGTCGTCCAGCGTGGCATTCTCATCGACTACAGCATGCTCATGTGTCTGCTGGAACACACTCGTCACACGAAGCTTCTCTTCGTCGACCACATGCGATCCGCTGCTCTTCGTTTGTTCGGCCATGCTTGCCATCTCATGCGCAGTTCCATGCACGAAATGAAGCAGCAAAGAGCGTGAGGTCGGGCGTAGATACACATGTTACAGCGTGGCTGAACGGTACCGATTACAGGCTGAGCTGATAAGAGGTTCCTGTAGCTGTACATCCCAGTACTACAGTAGTTAGTTGCTGCGACTTTGTAGATCGAATCGAGGGCCTAGGCGCGGGCAACTCTATCCTAGCATTATTATTAGTGCGGATAGCAAACACCCGAATCTGCACCGTAAGCCCTCTCGTCGTACTATAATATAACTTGTCTTGTCCTATCTACTGTTAGTTAATAGAGAATAGAACCTCGTATACGTATTCCTACTAATTTCTAGCAATCTACTATAGCAATAGCGCTAAGAACGATATATACGACCGCTAGCGTACTTATAGTACGATTAGAACTTAAAGACTAATTAAATAACTCTAAGTCTAAGAAGAAGGTATTATAGAGCCTCTAGAAGCTAATAAGTCCGCCGCTAATAAAACGAGTTACTAGTACGAGTCGGTAGGTAAAGGATAGCTCTAGGAGTAAGTTTTCTACTAGTAAGAAGGGTAAAGCGACTACTACTAAAGAGGCTCCGCTAATCGTTGCTTCCTCGATTAGGTAAAGTAAGGAGACCGCTCCTACTTAGGCTAGTAACTACTAAATGCTTTAGTAAATAGATTCTTTACTTTTATATTTAAATTAAAAAGCTATAGAACTATAGCTATATATTAGTTAGGTAAATATTATTCTATATATAAACACTTACTAAATTAGAGTATAGAATAGATTATCTATACTTAAAAATAGTTTAATATTTCTATTAAATCTTAAAATAGAGAATATACTATTCTAATTATAATATATAGCCTATTTAAAATAAATTAATCTACTACTTCTCTATTTAGTAGTAGACTGTTTTCGGAATAGTATTCTAATTTATTTCTAGAGTTTATAGTAGTATACCTAGATATATTTTATACCAGATTGTCTTAGTATAGCGATAGTTAGTACGCTTATATAAACTATAGGAGGGTTCTTAATATAGTATCTTTCCCTATACTAATATTTCTTATTTAGCTATAATATAATTTAATCTAGATATTAGCTATTTTAGTAGCTACGTAAGGCCGCGTCTAATAAGTATAGCGTATCCTTCGTAGCCTCGGAATTAGATACTATAAAGACTATAACCTCTCTATACTAGAATCTATAACAACTATAATATATTTAGTAGAGGTCTTAGGATACTTACTAGATTAAATAAATCCGATAGTACTACTAACCCTCCCTAATCCTTTCTAACTACTAATCCTTCCTAACTACTAACTCTTTCTAACTACTAAACCTTCCTAACTACTAACCCCTCCTAACCCTCCTATCCCCTAATCCTTAGGATATAGAAGTTAGTATCTAGAGAGATATAGTAAGAGTATACTTAGAAGAAGGTAGTAGAAGGAGGTAATAGTAGTTATAGTTATATAGTTAGAGCACTATAGAACAAGCTATAGTAGAACAGTAGTACTCTAAATTTCCTAAAATACAAGAATTGCTGTAATCCTGTAACTGTAATCTTGAGCTAGATATAGAGCATCTTCCGTGCTTGTCCGGACGCCGCGCAACGCTTAATAGGAATAGAGTTTGGCAGGAATCGCAGGATTCCATTCAGCACTCAGCCGCGGTCCCCTAGTAGATCAATGCCATGTGCAATTCTATCCCTCCAGCGTACGAAGTGATACACGAAACGCAAGCTGATTTGGCGTTTGTCTCAGGCATGCTTCATTGGCACAGCTTCTTATTAGAGATGCATCGCTGACACCATATTGCTTGAAGAAATGCAAATAATTGCGCTAGTCTTGCTCTTGCATGCGTTGTCAGCAACGAGCGAAGATCGCGAGGTTATGGACGGTACATCTTCAACTCTGTTCCCCATTGACAGCAATAGTAGCTCAGTCTCGGAGTCCTGCCTCACTCCATCCCATACCAGTCTCACCAGTCATGGAGCAAAGGGATCTGCTCATCAGGTTGCGCATAATGGAGGCGTTGTTGATCGATAGAGTCACTGGCATTTTCCCGTCCAACAACGATCCAGTCTTTGATGATTGCGCTTCCGTCCTTGATCCACTCGATTTCCTCCTCAGAACATCGGTTGGAAACATCGAGGATATAGCATTGATGTGGTGGCTGAGGGAGGACATCACTCTTCATCCACCAAGTATCGCTAGGACCAGTTGTCGAATATTGGGCTTGATGCGTCGCGGCATATTCTTTCAAGTCCACTTCCCCGGTGGCAATGTCACGTTGGGTGAGAGCACGCATGAAAATAGAATATGCTGCCTCTGGCTGATAGGAAGGCACCATATGCCCCGCTTGATATACTCGGGTGAAGCTGAGGTTGCCATACTGTCTCACTAGGCCGCCAGATTGAGTATATGGAGAGCCAAGGACTAAAGGTGTATAGCCAGCGTGTTTGAATTCTGCTTGGTGCGCCCAGGGAATGTTCAGCGAATATCGTTCGCCTCCTATCCAATTGCAGGCCACGTCACGATCGCCATGAAAGAGTGCAACGTTGACGCCATGCTCAAGGACATACGTAAGCTGATCCAGTTGCCCGCCTTTAACAAGATCACCTGTGCTCTCAAAAGCGGCAGCAACAGCGGGAGAGTACCATGAGTGATTGACTGGAACACCAAATGCCTTTTGAGTCTCCGGTTGATTTAGCCATCCAAACATGAATGGCGGCGGGAAGGGATCTTTAGGCTCGTGAGTGATGTCAAAGCGAGCACCTTTCCCAGCCCGGACGTAAAGGCTATCGCTAATATTTTCACCTCTGTTCGCGGCCTGAGAGCAGAATGTGTTGGTCTTAGCCACATCGCCATGGTCGTGAGGATCAGTCTTCAGCGCCATCTCGCGGCACTTTTTGATGTCATCCAAGACACCACCGGTCCGATAGAACTCGTTCATGGCCCACTCGTATTGGTCTTGAGAGATTGCACGCACACCATATGTATTGTTGAAGGACATCTCGATGTTTGAGCTCATCATATCGGGGGCATCAATGCAGCCATTGATGATGCCAAGGGTGCTGAGGTGAAGGTAATGTGCGCCATCTCCAGATATCTCTCCCTTCTTGATCTTCTCGTTTTGATGGAGGAAGAAATCCATAAAGCCAGGCCCGTAATGACCTCCATAACTCTCGGTAAAGAGGCTTATGCGTTCGTCTTTCGGCTTCAAATGAGGGAACTCGGTGAAGAATGTCTGGGCGAAATGCCACATCGCAACGGCAGCATGCTGCGTGCTATTGGCAGTGTGATTGACATTCTGGCTTGACATGGTCCCGACCAGAAAAGTGTTGTTCTGTTCCGGGACTCCATCTGTGAAGTCGGCAGGATTAATGGTACCGCCTTCCTCTGCGGAGCCGGCAAGATTGAATGTGATATTTGTAGGCACGTCGTAGCTGTATCCTACCTGGACAGGCTGGTCGATGAATAGTAAGTTCGCCTCGTTATTCCAAGACCACGGATTTAGATAAGTCGTCTTGGAGTCATTGGCGACAAAGCAGGGCCCATTTTCCGATAGTGCACCGAGGAGACTGCTGCCGCCTGGCCCGCCATTCAACCAGATGGCAAGAGGTGCATTTTCTGGGTCTTTTCGAGACTCGAAAAACCAGTAGAATATGTTGAGAGGGTATGCATTGTGTTCGTGAGTTTCATTAAGAGCATTTGGCGGCAGGTGGATGTACCCTAACAAAGTCGGTCAGTAGTGATCAGAAGTGTTCGCGAAGTGTGCGAAGCCACGGACCGGCATATGATTTGACGCCTGGAGTGGTTTCACAAAGCCCTGGCTCTTTGTAGGAGACTCGGACGCCAGGATGGAACTTTGATTGCAAAGTCGTTACGCCCTCTGGTGTTGGTGGGAACTGCCCACTCACCAGGCTGAACAGACCGAGAACAAGTGCTGAGAGAAGCATTTTGAATATTCTATCTGCCTCGACAGGATGATGAAAGCTCAGTCACAGACAAGATTGGGGAGCAGAAGATTGGTGATAAACAGCACAAGCTTTGAGACAACAACCTTGAAGGTGCGAGCTCCCCAGACTGTCACTGCATCACTTGAACGGGGTTCGGCTTCCGGCCAATTGAATGCCGAGATCCTACCCAATTCATGTCGACTGCAACACTGATCTGTCAACAGACAAGCATACAAGGAATGAGCATTCGTCGTTCTAGTGGATGGCATTCACAAGTTTGCTTCATTGACGGGCCTGATTACGAACTCGGTTCTGGGGAAATGGATTCTGACGTCCACCGCAGCCGCCTTCTCAAGCTGCTTCGGCTTGATAACTACTTCTTCCGGCGAGAGTGCGACTAAGGTGCCGATTGTTGGACTGCTTGAAGCATCAGCTCTGACCTTCGAAACGATGGTGCATAGACTCACTCGGCTCTGCCTGTATCGCTGGGCGTCACTGAGACCCTAGCTCCCTCTTTGAGGCCAATCTTCTCACTCAATTCCTTGTGTACGGATCTTGGGGTTGGCAACAGCATTGACTTGGGTCCAGGTGTCGGTGCCTTTTTCATTTGTTCCAGCACACTCTCAAGGTCATTTGACTTGTCTTCTTCCGTCAACGGTAGCTCGTCAAAGTATCGTTCCATGCGTTTATACCAAGCATGAATGCCAGGATACCTCTGAGGATTAAAGACAGGCGCACTTCCATTCTCCTTTGAATCACGAGCATCTTTCATGGTGAGACTGTAGACGCCTTCACCGCTTGCGATTTTATTGCCCCACCGGAACTGATAGTACAGAGTGATATCTGCAAGGGATGGCGTTGGCGTAGAAAAGATCCAAGGGCCATCGGTCTCTGCAAACAATGGCTCAAGCATAGACAATTGATGGTCGTACTTGGTCAGATTCTCAGGCAGCTTCTTTTCCAGCTTGTCGGGATCGAGTTTATGTCCAATGAGCTGTGCTCTGTCAGTGCCAAAAGAACTGCGCCAAATGCTAGCAGGCATAAGACCAGTCATGATGCGGAAGATTGGCCTGTCAGTCCACTAAAAGCGTTGGTACGAGGGTCAGTATGTGTCTTGTCTCAAAACGAAGTTGTCGACTCCAGAAGCAAAGGCCGAGACCAGCCGCTGTCGCTCTGCGGAGTCATGCCTTGCGCTCTTTGGTATACTTACGTAAGATGCGAAGCCTCTGATCAGTGGTCGATAGGTCCTCCCGTCTAGCGCCTCTGGATAGATTGATTGATAGCCTTCTGAAGGAGGAAAGAAGTGTTCGAGTGCTTCACAGATCAAGGAGGTGTCACAGTACAGCTCTCTGCCAATCGCAAGGACTGGAATCTTGCGATATGTCAGGTTGAAACTGTCCCGAAGTGTGGGCCGCGGCATCATCGTAGGCACCTATTGACGAAAAGGTGTCATTAGCAAGTGTGTGCGTGTCAATGAGGATAAACATACAGTAATAAATTTATACGGGATCTGCTTGAGCTTTAGGACGTGCTGTATCTTGATCGTGAAGGTCGACATCTCATAACCGAAGAGGGCCACTATTGGTGTTGCCATTTCGCGCGCTTCTGACTGAAACCAAGTCTTTTGGTCGTTTGTAGCTGTTATCGCTGTAGATAAACTGTGGCAGCAGCTGTATAGCTTGCTGATGTGTGTTGAGTCCTCCGGCTTCGGCTCGGTTCAAAGGACAAGCTCGGCCCATTGAGAAGACCTTTTGGAAGACCCGCCGAGTCGAACTGCGCTACCACTTGATCGATGACTACGATTGAGCATGGATACTTGCCAAATGACAATCCACCACATAATGAGATGCTCTTTAGAGAAAAGATTGATGTTTCGTGTAAGGAGCAGCGAGGGCAGAACGCGAACGCGAAAGAGCAACGGTCACTCTTGGCACTTTGGTGCTTCTTTCTTCACTCACCGATCAGGCACAGTCAGTCCTATAATTACACCCTCTTGCTGCGATCGCGAACGAACTGTAACGACGAATCCAACACACGAGTCGCTCAGAACGAAGTTGTTGCGATCAATGAGAACAGCGGAGGCAAAGCTTCGCCCTGGGCCTGCCCGCCTGGCGCGTTATGAAAGAGCATTGCAAGCGAAGCATATTGTACATATGTTACAAGAAATTGAAAACTTGTTCGTATGAGAAAGTATCTTCATCCATGAGATGTTCCAGAATGCCTCCGATTCCTGCTCCTCCTCATCACCTTACCTTCTGCCCTGCAAACGAGGGAACGAGCACGGCAAGCACAACACCCGGCTTCCTTTGCGAAAGTACAACCATCATCCTCACTCTGGAAAAAGCATTGGAACCAATGACTCGGATCGCATTCTGATTCAAGGCAATGCATGGCGGATGAGAATTAGATGTAAAGCATCCCCTTGTTGTGATAAGCAGCCTGAATTCTCAAAGCCAGCTCAGGTGACCTCTCCGCACGAAGCGAGATCGGTGTAACCGAGGGTGGACGACTCGACCAGGGCAGTTCAAGACGGTAATGCCAATTGAGGACGCTCCCGATCCCATATAAGGATGTCAGATCCAAACAAGTCATAATATCTTTCTCGCCTGATAAGAAGTAGATCTACACGAGTATAAATCATGGCACCGAGACGCGGATTATCATCGCAGTCGGAGACGTTGTCGAATGGCGCTAATGGGACAGCAAGTCACTTGAATGGCAGCCCCGTGCAACTTGATCTGGATGCTCTAATCATAGGCGGGGGCTTTGCAGGCGTGTATCTGCTTCATCGACTTCGCCAGGAAGGCTTTAATGTCAAGATTGCCGAGGCCGGATCTGCACTAGGCGGTATATGGTATTGGAACAACTATCCCGGTGCTCGCGTTGATAGTCCATGGCCGGTGTATCAGCTGTCGATTCCAGAAGTGTTTAGCACTTTTGAATGGAAGGAGCACTATCCAGGCAGTGCAGAGCTGCAACGATACTTCGAACATGCCGACAAAGTGCTGAACATTAGTAAAGACACCTTATACCACACTCGTGTCAAGGCTGCAACGTGGGATGATGAAAGTCACCGATGGCACGTCGAATGCGATAATGGAACCAAGATCACGGCCAAATTCATGCATTGCTGTCTTGGATTTGCAGCAAAGCGGCACTTTCCAGACTGGCCAGGCTTCGATGACTTCCAAGGCTATGTTTGCCATTCATCTTTCTGGCCCAAGGAAGGCATAGACATGAGAGGCAAAAGAGTAGGCGTAGTCGGGAATGGCGCTACAGGCATCCAGATAGCCCAGGAATCCGCAAAAGACGCCGAACATCTGTCTGTATTCATCAGAACGCCAAACACATGTATCCCGATGAATCAAAGACCAGTCGACCCGATCAAAGCCAAGAAGGACCTCGAAGACTACATCCCGCGGATGCTGCAGAAGGAGCGATTCCGCACCATGGGAGGGTTCTTGTATAGTGATCCCACGAAGACGATCAAGGAGACTTCGCCAGAGGAGCGCGAGCGGATCCTTCAGCATGCCTGGGACAACGGAGGTTTCGAAATTCTCTTCACCTTTGCCGAA